TTTTTTTCTATTATTATTATTTTAAATAATGAGGTTTTATAAATCAAAGAAGATAATCCTGCATGAAGCTTTTACTCTTTCTCTTGAGTTTGCAAAATGTGAACCTTCAAGAGAAACAGCCATGAGCCAGACAGGTAGTGCTCCAAGGGCTTTACATATATTAATTCATTTAACTGCCCTAACTGCCCGGGAGGTTAGTTGCTGCCATTACCATCCCCACTGACCAGATGGAGCAACCGAAGCACAGAGAGGCCAAGCACCTTGCCCAGGATCACACAGCAAGGAAGTGGCACGACCAGGGGCCTAACTCCAAGTCTGACTTGGGAATCATGAGACTCTCCAGGATGAGAAATGGGCCCTCAAGAGGTGGGGGAGCCAGTCCTTTTATTCCTGGCCATTTATTCGTGGCCCTCTGTCTCAGAGCAGGTGTATATAAAGTGACTTCTGAAAGCTCTCCCTGAACTTTTGACACAGCTCAAGGACGTCTCTGTGGTTCTGTCCTCTAGTTTTTTTCTGTCAAGCGAGTCACTCACTGGGCATGTGCTAGGACTCTGGGCAGAGCACAGAGCACCCAGGACACAGAGTGACCAGGACAGCCAAAGCCAGATGGGGAGACAGTGGCCAGGGAGTGATGCCAGTGACAGATGACTAAGGCGGTGGTCACCACACTGAGACCCTTCTACAGCAGATCTCATCTTGGGCAGGCAAAGAAGACCAACAGCCTCACGGAGCTGACACGTGTGACCTGAGGGATGAGGAGGGGCCAGCCCTGCTGAGAGCAGGAGGGGCAAGGGGGAAAGGCCAGGGGCTCCCAGAACTGAGGGAAGGCGTGGCTGTCTGGGGTTAGGCCCAAAGCTGGAAACAGGTTTTCTGCGGCCTGAAGTTTCCAGCCTTTGGGGGAGCCTCTTTAGGAAAATGCATACCAAATCACGAATGCAGAATTGATCCAGTCTCTGCCTGGGCCTTGAAAGAAATGCTGAAGGTTACGGCCTCATCGGCTCATGGAAGATGTATCCTGGCCAGAACTGAGTATTCCTGGGTTGCCAAATGCTTATGAATTAACACCCTAGATAAACAATCGTAAACATACACACAGACACACACTGAGCAGAGCATCTGTGTTCTGAACAGACAAGTAAAAGAATGTCCATTACCAGTTCTACCAATAATAGCCACCCTCCCTGAGGGCCAGCCAAGGCTGACTCTTACCCTGAGCCAAGCGCTATACTAATGGCCCATTTAAACTTCACTGCCACCCAAGGCAGGAGGTAGTACTGTTATCCCCTTGGTAGAGAGGAGCAAAATCGGGCTCGGAGTGGTTAAGCAACTCCCCCAAGGTCACACAGCAGGAAGCAGACTTGATTCCAGCTGTGGCTGGCCTGAAGTGGGCCCTGAACTGAGATCCTAACGGGTATCTAAGACAGTGCTGACTACTCAGACAGACTCTCCTCCGGACCCTGGGGCTCGAATTCTGGAAGGACACAGACACCAAAGTGAGTGATCAGAAAATCGCCCTGTGGATTACAAAGTGATAAGAGTATGGGAGAAATTACAGCAAGGGAGGGCACAGGGATGACAGGGCCTGCAATTTTAGGTCAGTGTCCAGGGAAGGCCTCACAGAGAAGGTAACATCTGAGCAAAGACTGGAAGGAGGTGAAAAAGCCATGCCGGGAACAGAGTGGGTGAGACCCGGCACTCACCCCGAGGGGCTGTCATTCTGGGCGTGGGGGTGACACCTGGGTGAGCAGAGGATCCCAATCCAGTGTGTGAGCAGAGCTGAGAGAGGCAAGCCCAGGGGGCTGCAGGAGTGTCCAAGGACACATCAAGAAGCCTGAGAGGGTTGGGGTAGAGGGGCTCCCTGGAGGAGGTGATCCCAGAGAATCACTAAACTTTTGATACAATTGACAGATCAGAGTGAGGCAGGACAAGGGAGGTACAAGGAGCAGAGATGGAGAAGGGTGCCCAGGCAGAAGGCACAGCGAAGGGCAAAGGTCCAAAGCAAAAAGGGGCCAGGTCTGTCAGGAAAGACCAGGTGAGGGAGCCATGGAAGCACAAAGGGTAAGCGTGGGACACGGTACTGTGGATAGCAGAGCAGGGGCCTCGGCCAGACCATGAAGGGTCTCGAACACCAGGTTGAAGGGCTGTGACTTTGTCCTTAGGGTGCTGGGGAGCTTCAGGGCAACTCGGGGGTGGGGGAGAAAGAGCCCTGAAGCTGAGAGACAATGGATCAAAGGAACCACTGAGAACCAGGGAGGAGACCCTGTGTGGGGCCAGCTGGGAGGAAGAGAAGCCTGAAATGCTGGGCCCATGAGGATGGAGAAGGGGACCAGTTGTCAAGTAACAGGTGGCGGGGTTGGTAAGGGAGGGAGGGCAATGGTGCTGGGGCTCTGGCCCGATGATCAGGTAGTTGGCAATGTTTATTTATTTCTTCAGAAAGGGCACCTACACACACAGCCAAAAGACAGGATGCAGTGTTGGGAGCCCCCGGGCAGCACACACCCCTGGGATAGGATAGTGGCTGATACCTTCTCTTTGTTCTCTCATTCAGCACACACCTGTGTGCCAGGCCCTGTGCTGGGTAGGCTGGGACCCAAAGCTGGTCATTTTCGGGTCTGCCAGTGGGGAAGACAGATACGACACAGGCACCTCAAGCCATGGAGACCAGGGCTGGGGCACAGGGAGGCCCAGAGAGCAAAAGAACCCAAAGCAACAGCTAAAAGTAGGAAAAAACCAGGAGAGAACGTCCCAGGACCCCCAAGAGCAGCTGAAGACAACACCCCTGCCCTTTGCTGTCAGGGCTTTGCTGCAGCCCTGACAGTGAAAGAGGAGGGACGCCTGGGTGGCTGTCAGTTAAGCTTAAACTCAGGTCATGATCTCAGGATCCTGGGATCAGGCTCTCTGCTCAGTGAGGAGTCTGCTTCTCCCTCTCCCTTTGCCCTCCCTCTCTTGTGCTCTTGCTCACTCTCTCTCTCAAATAAACAAATAAAATCTAAAAAAAAAAAAAAGGAGGAGCAGAGACTGGTGCACTTTGATCCTTGACGGTAGCTGCCTGGAGTGGGGTGATCCAGCAAGCAACAGGACCTCCGAGGGCCTCACTCTCCTCACCAGCCCAACCGGCTTCATAGTATCAAGCAAGAGGATACTGAAAAGTACTGAATAAGTCAGTGTCCGTCAAGGACTTGGAGAGCTGCCCTTCGCACAGTAAGCACTCACTAAACGTGAGCAGTTACAATCACTGAAGTTTCCCTGCCAAGTCGGGCTCCCAGGCCCTCCTCCCCACCTCACTCCCCAAGCGGGCAGGGATCCTGGTTTCATACACCAGGAGGCCTCTGGCATGCCAGGCCCGTGCTGCACAATGCTGGGGACATATAGGTGGAATCCCAGTTTGATGGGGGGACAGACGTGGATGCGCAGTCACCATCTACAGTAGATGGGCAGACCATCTACAGTCTGCTTTAAGCCAAGTATTTCGAAAAACTGGCCCGAGAGGCTGTGTCTGATTCACCTCTGTCCCCACCAGCTACTCTCGGGTCAAGCCAGGACCCCAAAGAGGCTTCCCCCCACCCCCGCCAAGGCCTCTCATGGGGAATAGGAGCCATTCCACCAGCTCAAACAGAATTTCATCTCCAGCAAACATTTCTCCCTCCCTTCCTGGCTAGAGCCTCCTCGCTCACCCAGCGGCTCTGTAGGGTGAAGGCTTCTGGGCTCCCAAGCTAAGGCAACTGAGTGGGCAGTGCAGCCTAACAGGTGAAGTGTGGCTCGTGTGCAAAGCACCAGTCGCGCTGAGGAGACAGACGGACCTGGAAGGGAATCTCAGCTCTACCCCATCCTAGCGGAGTGACCTCTCCGCGTTTCTCCAAACGTTACACAGGGGCCGCGGCACCTCCAGCGGGTAAGAAACAGAGAAAGTAACTCGTAATGCACACAATTATTAAGACAGTGAGTCCAAAACCTTGAGAAAAGGGAGCGGGGTCATGACCCCAAAGGGGCTGAGTCTGAAGTCTGAACCTCACGGTCCTTGATCTTTGCCCTCAGGTGTGACTTTGACTTTTAAGAGGAAGAGCGGCAGAGATCAGACGTACGAGAAGACCCCCCCATACAGTTTCGGGATTCCCAGGAGGTGCAAGGAGGGGCCCGGTCACCTTCACTGCGAAGTCGATGACCCTCTTTACAGCCACGAGCGCGCGCAGCTCCGCCATCTTCCGGCGGTTCCCACCTGCGGGGGAAGTAGGTTCACTACGGCTCTGGAGCCGGACGTCCCGGCCCCCTCTCCCGCTCCCCTCTTTGCGCCTGCGCCCCGCGCCGCCGGCCAATCAACCGCGACGATGCCCGCCTCCGCCCTGAAAAAGGACCAATCGAAGGCCCGGAGGGAGGGAGGTGTGGCAAGAGGATTCGGACCAATGGAGAACAGATTCCGGAGAAAGAGGCGGGACCTGAGGGAAGGGGAAACGGACTTAGTGAAGGGGGCGTGGCCGGGAACTAGGGGAAAGGTCGTGCGCGTAGGGAGGTGCTCCTGCCCCGCAGCTCCTCCCGAGCCTCCTAAACCTTTCCCAACGCCCTCGGATTTACCCCTCCCCCAGTTCCCCACTGTTTCCTCGCCTGTTTAAGTCGCTGTGCTCGCATCCCCTGCGCCCTCTTGTGTCTGTGTCCCCATCTTCTTCTTGCCTTGTTCCTGGTCCCACGACCATGGCTCTTCCGTCCCCCTATATCCGTTTTTCCGCGTCCATGTCCCTTCATCCCTTCCGAGCACCCACGTGCTCTCCTGACCCCACCACTCCTGTGCCCCCTTCGGCCTCCGAGCCCATGAGCCTTGTCCACTCCACCCATGTTCGTGTCCCCATGTTCCTCGTTCCGTATAGGTTCATGTGCTTATGTCCTCCCCGAACCCCCAGGTGTCCCCGTGTCCCAGTCCCCCGTCCTCTTCATATCCACATTGCTCCCGCGTGCGTTCCTGTCCCCCGTGTCCTCACGGCCCCCAGAAAGGCACGCGGAGCCGCGGCGGTGAAAGCCGTTCCTTTATTCTGCCCCAGGCAGGCTGCGGTCACAAGCACACGGGGAATCCACTGAGGGCATCCGTGCTCTGCACGACCCTGTCCGCCAGCAGAAAGCAGAAGCCCGGCGGGAGGGGAGCGGAGGGCAGAAGACTGGGGGACGGTTTGTCCTGGGGCAGATGGCCGGGAGCGCCCCGGGGACCGGGGCTTGGATCCCCAAGGGTGCTCCTGCCGGGTCTGCGGGAGTCGGGAGCGGAGTTTGGTGAGGAGTCCCTGGGAGGGCGGCTGGGAGTCTGCGGGGATGGGGGGTTCCTCCGGGCAGTCTCCTCCACCCTCTTCCCGCTGTCCAGGTTACCCGCAAGAATAGAGAAGGGTAAAGCCAGCCACCCCGAAAAACAGGACCACGAGAAGAAGTCGTCGTTCTTCCACGCGTTCCTCACTGTGTAGCCTGTCAAAGCGATCAGCAGCAGCAGGCCTGGGCCCAGCACCAGGGGAGCTCTGCCGGGGCGGGGAGGTGGGGGGCGCACCCAGGCCCCACCCAGAGTACGCCCATCCAGGGCCACGCCCCCTTCCCTCAGCCACGCCCCCCTCCTCTGGGTCTCTGGCCCCTGTCTCCACTCGCATCCCCGCGACCCCTGGGCCCCTGTCCCCTGCAACCCCCAGGCCCACCCTATGACTGTGGACCCGCTGCCGTCTCACCGTAGAGGAAGAAGATGCCGCTCGTAGTCTGGCCCCGCGAGTCGCCCTCGTGGCACAGGATCCTCAGCCCCATCACCAACCACAATGCCGCCAGCACCATGCACGCCCCCGTCACCGCCAGCGTGGCTGGGGAGAGGGGCCGCCTCAGCCCCGCGCTGGCGCCTCCCCGGGCCAACGCCCCGACCCGCCGGTAAGGGGCCGGGAGCAGAGCTGACGGTTTGGATGGGGACTTGGAAGTTACTTCATGAGGGAAGTGGGTCCCGAGTTGGGGGATGGTGGTAGTCTCTGTCGCAGAGGAGCAGATGGGCCTGAGACAGGAGTGGAAGCGGTAAGGGTTTGGCGCCGCAGGATGTGTCCTGCTGTTGTGCCATCTGTGGTCTGTGCTGGGGGCTGTCTGTCCAGTAGGGGACATCTGGACCGGTCGGACCTCACTCTGGCAGGGGATGTTGGAGCAGGTGCCACCATTACACTCCTGCCACAAGCCACTGTGGCCCCCAGGGTAGCAGATCCAGTAGTTGGTGGTAGTGGAGAAAATCGTGAGGATTTTGGCCAAGAAGCCCAGCAAGGTGCCCCCGCTCTGGAGGCTCCGCTTCACCCCCATGCCTGAGCGGCTGCTGACGAGGGCCACACATGCAAGATTGGCCGACACTCCTCCCGTCCCCAGACCCCTCTCCCGGGTCCTTCAAGTCCTTGAGACGCCCTCCCACATGTCCCTCCATGTGAGATCGCACCCCAGCACCGCTGTCCGGAGATGGCTCCTTCCGGCCCTTCCCAAGACCTTCATGCCCTACTGCTCCTACTGGGGGCCTTGAGACCTTACCCCCAAGGAATCAGTGCTTAGAGACCTCCCTGTCTTTGCAAGATCTCCATGCCCCCAGGAATGTCCCTATAGTCCGTCCAGTGCCCTCCCCCCACCCCACCCCCCCTCCCCGCCCAGCCATGCACACACCCACCTAAGTGACTCACAGTCAGCTCCCAGGGCTTCTTAGACACAGAGTCCAGAGGGTGGGGGAAGGGAGACCACGTCTCTGTGACACAGGAGGAGTTCTAAAATCCCCTCTCCCATCAGTCATTTAAAGAGATAAACCTCCCCCAACACACACACACACACACACACACACACACACACACACACACACACACCCTAAGCAACTCTACTAGCAGAGAGACCGCTCAGAGTCAGATAGCAGGTCTGGGGAGAGCCAAAAGGCCATGGCATAACAGACCATGGCCTTGTGAAAACTCTTCCCTTGATTCCATAAGCTCTGCAGGTCCCCGTCTCTGTGACGGTGCCCTCTTAGGTTCCCATGCAAGCTCCCGCTCCTCTTCCTCCCTCCACTTCGTGCCTGTTGGCCTGGAGCCTCCATTCTGCCCCTTCTCACCAGAGGAGCAACCTCACTGGGTCTCTGTCCCAGACCCCCGACAACCACATCCCAACTGAGCTCAGCATCTTCCACCAAACCAGGGCTGACTCCGCCATCCCACCAGTTGGTTGTGCCAGACCCCTGGGCACTGTCCTTGCCCCCTCTGACCCATCAATCCACAAAGTCCCCGAATCCCTGTGTCTGGTTCCTTCTGCCCCCCTGCATCTGGCTCCTTCCATCTTTCCCATCTCATGCCCTGGTCCCAGTCGCACCCATTGGTTGCCAAGCTCCTCTCTCCCTTTGGGCCTCCCTCCATGCCCCAGAGGAATCTTGGCACCTGGAACTGGCGTTGACCCTCCCCAGCTCACAACCTTCTCCTAGCTTCCCACTGGCCTCAGGAGGGAGTCACTGTGACCGTTGGGGCTGTTGCTCCCACCTCCTTCTCCATCCCCTGAAAACTTCGAGCCTTTCTACACCTCCCCCTTTGCGTCCCTCTGTCTGGATGATCTTTCCTTGGCCCTCGAGAAGCCCCTGAACACCCTTCCCCCAGAAAGCTCCCCTCCACCCCACCCAACAGAGTTGGTCTTTCTCCCCACCATCCTGGGCTCTGCCTGCTGTCTCGCTTCCCCCACTGGACTTGCAGTCCCCCAGTGGCCAGGGCCTGGGGCAGCCTCTCACCAGCATCCCCAGTGAGACCAAGGATAAAGGATGAGCTCAGGAAAAGCCAGCTGAAGGAGTAAATGAATTAATGAAGTAAGCAAGAAGGACCAGAGTGAAGACAAGGGTGACAAAATCAGAGAGGGAGTGAGAAGGAAAAAGCACTAGAGTGGGAAAGACAAAGGAGAAAAGAGAAAAGACAGGGTCTCAAGGTAGAAACAGGGAGAAAGACAAGGACCAGAGAAGGGAGCCGACATGGGGCTGCGCCTGAGTCCACACCAGCCCCAGCTCCATGCCCATCTGTGCCCATCCGTGCGTGGGGGCACACAGGGGTTCTGACTCCTTCCTGGGCTCCTGGGGTCGCCCACCAGGGAGCTGCCCTACCCTCAGCTTATGTCTTGGCTGAATTAATCTCAGAATAACCAGATCTCAGCAAATTGTTGTTGAATGGATGAAGAAACAAACAGCGGGGTTGCGGGAGGGCTGGGGTAGGGGCTAGGAGGAGGGCTGTGGGTGCCTGTGGCTCCTGACGAGGTCTTCCCCAAACAATGCTTCATCCTGCCCGGCTCACCTCTGGCTTACAAGGTCTCATAGCCAGACTGGGGGCCACTACAGTGAGCACCCAGACTCAGGCTGCCTGCGGCGGGAAGCAAAGAGAGGTTAACATTAGCCCCCACCCCGCTCTCTCAGAGCCCCCAGCAGGCCTCTCCAGGTCCCGGAGCGGTAGTCACCTGTACAGAGACAGAGGACAGCTGAAACCCAGCCCAGATAGAACGACCAGGAGAAGAAGGTCTGGATCTGAGGGTGTCGAGGCTGGTTCCACCGCTCGCTGGTGTAGACCACCATGGCCACCACAGCAAAAATGGCTGGGGATGAAGAAGAGAGAGAGCTCAGCCCCTCTGCGGGAACTCACCGGTCCCCAGAGCCCAAGTGCAGCCCGGAGCCTACCTGCAGCAAAAGCCATGATAGAGGAGGAGAGGGGCCCGTAGCCTCGAATGGAGAGTGAGGGGACGTAGGACAAGATCAGGAAGATCACCGACACCAGCCCCGACAGCGCAGCCAGAATGCTGAGGCTCTGCGTGGCGCGGATGAAGCCTGCTCCGAGGTAAGACTTCAGTGCCTGCCCTCGGACAGCCCGCCGCCCGCAACAGGAGACACCACTGTCCCTTACCTGGTACCTCACTGTGAGACTTCTCTGGCCAAAGCCCCGAGTGAGACGAGAAGGTGGGCCCCACGGCCACGAACCAGAAATCCGTGCTCAGAGCAATCAGGACGGTCACCAAGCCCAGGGAGCCAGTGAGGAGGGCCAAGGACCGACAGAGCTCCATCAAGGTGAGTCCTGGGCGTCCAGGTCCTGCGGATGAAGGGGCCAGTGATTTGGACTCTTGGGCCCTCTGAGCTCAAGAAAGAGAAGCCTTTAAGATTTTAAAACCAGGCCGTTTGGTTTCACAGAGTTCCGGGTTGACGAGTATTGCCCTATAACCCCCTTCCCGGTTGCCTTGACAGCTTCCTCCCCCCACAGAGGTTGGGTTCCCCTCACAGCATGTGGTGGGGAGGGTGTCACATCATCAGTGGTTTGGTGGTGGTTCAGAGCTTGCCTCTGCTTTAGATTCTATACCTCCCACCCTTGGAACCCTCAACATCAGAGGAGACTTCCTGGAAGAGGTGTGAAAGAGGCTTGGGGGCCCCAGGGTGGGAGGTGGTAGATGAGACCAGGGTGTGAGTTAAACAGGGGGATGTGGCCAAAGGGGACAGTTGGTGGTTGTGTCATGCTCTCCTGTCGGTTCTGCAACCTTCCATTCTGGAAGAGGGAGGCCCCAACTCTAGTGTGTCCACGGAAGGAGGGGGGCTGGAGACTAGGGTGCTTGCAGCTGAAGGAAAAGAGGGCTGGAGGCCTGGACTCGGGTCCTGAGCAGGAGGCAGGCAGTCCTGGATCCCTGCCTGGAGCTTATCCCAAAGGCAACCGACGGTGGAGGATCACAATCCTGCAAGTCTGTGGAGAGCAAGACATGTCCACATCGTCCTCTGATAAGAGTTTGCAGACAGCTCTGTCTTGAGCAGGGCCTCCAGTGTGGAGGGCTTCATCCCCAGGATCAGGGTGTCTCAGGGGCAGAGGTGGGCACACGGGACCGTCCCACCCTCCCAGCACTAGCCTCCTCTTCCCATCCCGGCAATAGGTCCTAGACAGAGCCTCGCCTCACCGATGAGCAGGAAGAAGGCGAAGGTGTCGCAGCCCAGGTGGAAGGTGCAGGCTCATGTGACTTCCAAATCGGGGGAATGGCCTAGAAGAAGACCTCTGTCATAAAGATGACATGAGCCAGCAGTCCCACAGCAGCCGGTGAAGGGGAGACTCAGAGGGACTCAAGAGGGCGTGGCCTCTTCCGTTACTGAAGTCTCCAGTTTGCAGGCCCCCGTCTCTCACCCAGACCCTCACCACCAAGGTAACTGGCCACTCCTGAGAATGTGCTCATGAATGCAGGCTCCCAGAAGCAGCAGGGGCACCGACGCAAAAATGGCTGTACGTGTAGCTCTAGTGGAGAGCAGCGGACAGGCTTCAGGAATCCCGGCCAAGGGAGTGTCAGAGCCCGGAGGTCACCTGTTATCTCTACCCCACCCTTAACTCCACCCCTGTCCTCCAACACAACCCCCTTCTCATCCCCAGACGTAACCCCAAACTCAGCCCCATTCCTAACCTCATCTCCAACCCAAACCCAACCCTGTCCATAACCCAGCTCTACCCACAAATTCAACCCCGTCCTGATTCCTAAACCAAACCCTGTTTTCATTGTCAAGACCGGCTCTAAACCCAGTCCCATCCCCAACCCCAAATACAACCCACTCCTCAACCCCAGCTCCAACCTCTAATTTAACCCCATCCTCCAAACTAACCTGACCTCCATCCTCTTATTCACAAACTCAGCCCCAACCTCATGTCCAAATCCAAGTTCAGCCCCAAACTCAAACCCATCCTCATTCCAAGACTTAATGCTAACCTCCTTTGGAACTTCACGGCAGATAACACTTCCAGCGCCACCCCCACCTTCCTCCCACTCTGTCCCACCCTCTATAATTCCAACCTCAACCCTACTCATATTCATCTCAATCCCACCTGTTTCATCACCCCCCCCCCACACACACACACACTGTAGAGAATGGACTATGGAGGCAGGCGGGGGGTGGGGGACAGGAGGAGGGGCAGAGCTGGTTAGGAGGCTGAGGCCATAAGCCAGGTGAGACAAGGCATGAGTCCTAACTGGGTGAGCAAGGAACCTGGACACAGTTTTAAGGTAGAGCCAAATGCCGCTTGCTGGTGAATCAGATGTGGGACGCAGCAAAGCAGCTGCTGCTGATTCCAGGACTCTTGGCAGGGGCAGCTGGATGACCATGGGGCAAGATGGGGAGATATGGGAGGAGTTGGTGTGGGATGTGGGAGAGACCAGGACACCTGAGATTTGAGATGCCTCTTCTTTTCAAGTGGACACTGGAGATGAGTCTGGAATTACCACATCATTATTATTGCTAGAATAAACTCCTATAAATATGATTCCTGGAATAAGCCTCAAGAAATATGTCTCCTTAAGTAGGCCTCAATAAATTACCATTAGAGAAGGCCTCGATTGCCATTATTAGTAGAGGAAGCCTCTATAAATACAGAACTATTGTTATTTGTGAAGTCCCCAATAAATATTTCTAGGGAGTAGGTCTCTGTTAATGTGACAGTTTTAGCATAGGCTGTAATTAATATTCTTATTATTAGAATGGGCCTTGCTAAATAGTCTTATTAATTTATGGTGGATATTAGTAAATCTCCTAGCAGTTGGGCACAGCTTAGTGAATGAAGTAATGAGTGAGTGAATGAGAAGGTCAAGGTCATGAACGGTATGTGAAGAGTCAGGACAGGGTGTGGATCAGGGTATGGTGAGGGTCTGGTGCTTCTAGGTGTGGGGCCCATCCAGGGAGGGGAGGGGCGGTTAGGAATGCTGACTGGAGACGGTGTGAGCAGACAGGTGTTTTTTTCACAGACTTTTTCGTTTATTGTATTATCCCACTGATATTATGATTCATAAGAAACACATATTTGTTCTTTGTACTGTTGCTGGCATGAAGCTGCTGAAAGCCTTGGAATTTCTTAGGTGATGAGGGCCTTGAAGGTGTATTTGCTACATTAATGGTTAATGAGGCAACTGGGGGCAGGGGGGTGGTGGCAAAGCACTGGAGGGTAAGGGCAGGTTGCTGGGGGAACCAGCCAAGTGTCTGGAGGGTTGGAACTTTCAGTCCCAGCCCCCAACCTGGGTAGGGAGGGGCTGAAGACTGAGTAATCACCAGTGGCCAATGGTGCACTCAGGATGCCTGTGTAATGAAGCCACCATGAAAACCCAAAAAGACTGGGTTCAGAGAACTTCCAAATTGGTGAATGTGTGCATAATAGAGAGAGTGACCCCCTGAAAAAGGCACAGAAGCCCCTTGCCCCTTTCCCATACCTTGCCCTGTGGGTCCCTTCCATCTGAGTTATATCCTTTTATAGTAAACGGGTGATCTAGTAAGTGGAATCTTCCTTCGAGTTCTGTGAGCCACTCTAGCAAATTATTCAAACCCAAAGAGTGAGTCATGGAAACCTCCACGCTACTGCTGGTTGACCAGAAGCCCAGGTGACAAGCTGCACTTGTGAGGGCATCTGAGGTGGGGGTTGGGGGGCAGTCTTTAGGACTGAGTCCTTCACTTGTGGGATCTGACAATACCTCCTTATAGAGAGCATAAGAATTGAGCTGCTTGGTGATGTGGAATTAAAAAAAAAAATCCAGAATTGGACCTACACATCTGTTTCCTAGAAGTCGTAGTTAACCCCTGGGTGGGGACTGTGTGGTTCATGTCTGTCCCCATCCCTACAGAGACTGAGCAGGTTGGCCTGCAGTCATCCAGACACCGCCACCCTGTCCACCACTCACACCTGTTTCTCATCACCCCAACCCCTCAAGGACCACACCTTAGTAGTTTCACATCAGTTTTATTAGACTCTCAAAAAGTCGCTCTAATGGAGATCCCATTTCTCTAACACCCCCCCTTCATGGGCTGGGCCTTGGGTCTTCTCAACTGCCTCCCACCAGGCCCCATTCTTCCTCCTTCCCCCTCGGGACACAGGAGTCAGAGGCCTCCGCCCAGAGTCCACAATTGAGCCCCCTCCTGCCCACAGGAACCAGGACTTCAGGCCTCTAGACCTTCCCCCTCCTTTTCTGTGGCCCCATTTAACCTCCAGATGAAGTTGGGGGTACATTGGGCTCAGCGGGGAGCAGACAGGCGCCGACATTCATGCATCCGGTAGGCACACATGTAGAAAATCCCTGCATGAGAAGAGATCCCATTTGGCTCCCCCAAATCCTCCTAACCTGGGCTCCCAGCCCAAGACCCCAAAACAGCACTCCCTTTCTCCCTGGGTGTCTGTAGCATCTCGATTCTGTCTCCTGGCTCAGTGCTGGGGGGCCCATGTGGGACACCCCATCATCTGGCCCTCTGAAGTGCTGCCCACAGTGCCACAGACACTGACCTTCCCACCCCCAAACCCTCATACCTGCGAAGAAGGCCATGAGCAAGGCCACCCAGCCCAGGATGTAAGACCAGGAAAAGCGCCAGTCCCCAAATCGGCGACCAAGGAAGCTGACAGTGACTCCAGTGTAAATGGCCAAGGCCAACAGAACAAAGAAGGCTGGGGAGAGAGGATGGGGGGAGGTGGGTGGGAAAAGGGGTAGGGGTGGGGTTTGCAGATGGGGTGGGAGTTAGATTGAGGAAGGGGAAAGGCTGGGGAGGGGTGGGAAGGGAAAAGGGGGAGGGTGCCAGGGGAGTAGGGTTGGGGTGGGGATGGGACGGGGCTGTGCTGTGTAATAAAGAATTTGACCGGGGCTGGTTTTGGGCTCTGGTTCCTGGGACGGAGACACTAAATCCCTGGAATTTCCCAAGTGATAGGAGCGTCTTTGTTACTGTTGAGCCTCTTGGGTTTTTGTTGATGAGCTGAGATGACAATAGGTAGGACCTGGTCCACAGAAGGACCAGCCACAGGAACAGAGAAGCCACCAGGGGCTGTGAGCCACTTGGTATTGGACCACCTTCTGGGGAAGGAAGCTAGAGACTAAGTTCAGGCACAGGGTCAATGACACAATAGGGCCTTGGTAATGAAACTCCAGCAGGAACTCCAGACGCCCAAGTGTGCCAGAGTTTCCTGGCTGGTGAGGCGCTCCGTGGGGCACCGTGGGGGAAGGGTGCAGAAGCTCAGCCTTCAAGACCCTCTCAGGCTTCACCCCGTGCTTCTCTCAATTTAGCTGGTGCTGAGGTGTAGCCTTTATAATAAATCTGTAATTATAAGTGTAGTGCTTTCTGGAGTTTGGTGACTTCTGGCAAATCTTTGAACGTGACTGGGTTCTGGGGATCCCCGAACAAGCAGCCAGTGGGTCAAAAGTGCAGATGACCTGAGGACCCCTCTTGCAACTGAAGTAGGGGCAGCCTTGTTAGGAATCACACCCTTAAACCTGGCGAGGGGGAGGGGGGAGGTTAGTGCCCTCACCGGGCGACCGGACAGCAACTGATATAAGAGGCTGGCATTAAGCTTTAGAACCAGTCTTGGAGTTGGGGTTGGGGTCGGGGGAGACTAGGCTGGCCATGGAGCTGAGAATGAGGAATGGGGCTGGGGATGGAAATGGGCAGGGAAGCTGGGAGTGGGAGTGGGGAGATGGGGAAGTTGGGTCCACTCACTGGAGGCGAAAAACATGATGCTGGCAGAGAAGGGCCGGGAGAGGCGGGTGAAGGTGGGCTGCTGAGCGAAGGCCAGGATGCCCATGATGATGCCCGAGGTGGCGCACAGGGAGGACAGGATCATGAAGGCCCGGGTGGCATTCCAATAAGCTGTGGTAGCACCGATGGGTCACTCCCGAGCCTCCCCCCGCCCGGGAGGCCTCCTTCTCCGTCCCTGACCCAGCTCCTCCTTCCCCTCTGCAAACAGTCACTCTTCTTTACCTGGCAAAATCCTAATCATCTTCCACAGCCCAGCTCCCAAATCCCCTCTGGGAAGGACCCTTTCACCCCTCAGGTATCGTCCTCAGCCCCCGCTCCTGGCTGTGGCTCTTGGGGCTGTGGCTCTTGGCTCGTTCCCCCTTCCAGTCCAATTGCTCCCTGAGGCCAGGATTCTACCTCGGGAATACTCCTAGCACAAGACTGGTTTGCAAATGGGCCTGGAGAGATATTCGTCGGATGGATGGATGGATGGATGAGTAATGAATCAGTGTTGATTCCCCGCTATCTGCCTGCCACTCCCTTCCTGTCCTCTCTCCCATCGCTCGCTTTCATTTCCCGGATAACCACTTGCCCATACTTGAAAATGACCTATTTATTTATTTTTAACTTGTTTATATCTGTCTTTCCCTGCTGATCGCCCAGTTCTCTGAGGACAAAGGTCTTGCTTCCTCATTCACTTCCTCATGCATGGGTGCCTGGCACATAGTGAGGGCTCAGGGCACATGCTGAGTGAATGAATGTGGAGCCCAGAGAATCATTTGTCTCTTGTGCTTGGCACTGAGCTGACCCTTTAGGACATGCTCTGGGAATAATCGTTATGATTTCATCCTCCGTTTAGCAGCTACCAAATACGGGTCAGACACGCATTCCTTGAATGAGCCTGTTCATTCCTTCCAAGAGCCCTATGCTGTACGTACTATTTTTAATCCCCGTTTTTCAGGTGAAGAAACTAAAGCTCAGAGAGGTAAAGTGACTTATCCAGGGTGCCCTAATTGGCAGTGGGACTGGCGTTGACACCCAAGCATCAAAGCCCTTCTTCTGATCTGCGTGGCCATACTGGCTCTTGGATGAGTCAGGATACCTGTGACCCTGGGACAGAGCCTGGATCCTGCCCCCGAAAAACAAAAAGTCTGGATCTTTGCAAAATGCATTCTTTTGCCTCGTGTGAACGTCAGTGAGAAAAAAAATTGCTGGCTGTTTCTCTGTGGCTGTTGTCATGGGTTGAACCGTGTCTCTCCCCGCAACCCCCAAGCCCCCAAATTCATATGTGGAAGGAAGCTGCAATCCCCATAGTAGGACCTTATTTGGAAATAGGCTCATTGCCAATGTATTTAAGGTCTCACTGTAGCAGAGTGGATTCCTAATCCTAACTGACAAGTATCCTCACAAAATGGGGAAAGCTGGAGAAAGACAGACATGCGGGAGGGTGGGGAGCACCATGTGAAAATGAGACAGAGATCAGGATGACACACTGACATGCTAATAAGTGCCCAAGATTGCCGGACAGCCTCCGCCAGAAGCCGGGAGAGAGGCAGGCAACAGATCCTCCCTCATGGCCTCGGAAGGAACCAACTCTGCTGACCTCAGTTATCAGACCCCCAGCCTCCAGAGCTGTGAGATGGTACGTTTCTGTTGTTTGAGTCACTCAGTCCATGGTCCTTTGTCACGGCAGCCCCAGGAAACTACGGATGTCTCTGGGTATTTAAAAGGCTGGAAGACTTACGGGACATGTTTTTGCCTATGTCCTCCCCGTGGTCCCGCTGAGGTAGGAGTGCAAAATGTTAACGTCTCTGAGGCTTGCCTCCAGCTGCAGAAGAGAGCAGCTTATCTGTCCTCCAGCAGGCTGAGGTGGGGGCTTCAGCGAACAGGCACATGTGTCCCATGCCAGGTGACCCATTACTGCCTCTGAGCTCCATCTTCAGAGAAAACTCTCCCTGTTCAAGTCATGGTGTGCCACCTGTCTCCTGAGAGACCCTGACTGGTAGACCGCCTTCAAAGGAGGGAAAACTGGATTTTTCAAAGACAGCCGCAAGTCCAGATTTTTCTGACGACATCAGAAACTTTACAAAACACTATACACACGTGTCTGTGGCTGGAGTTGGCCCCGGCGAGTTCACGTATGCCTGCTCTGGGTCTGGCGAGCCAGTTACAGTTGACCTGCACCGGGAGCCAGCTGCGTGGACAGATACCCAGCAATCTATCAGGGTGAGGATTTTGGCTTCAAGGTCAAATGGACTTGCAGACCTGCATCCCGCCTTCCTCTCCCCCATCCCCAACAGAGAGAAGATAGACTGGGATGTGGGTGTCCTCGGGGCATTCCCAGGCTGAAGCGGGAGAAATGGTGGAAGTGTGACGAAAGAGACCTCTGGGAATGAAAGGGATGCATGAAGTCAGGAGGTCGACCGAACCCAGGAGCTGGCGGCTGGGGTAGGCCTTTCCACTGCCTCCTGCCTCGGTTTACCCCTCCTGCACACGGGCATCCTGTTTCCTTTCCCAGACAGGTTCAGTGAGATGGGGCGGTTGAAATCTGCCCTAAGGGCTCTGGTGGGTTGTCTCCTCCTCCCAAAACCCCCTGGAGAGAATGTTTGGCTTTTTGAGGGCAAGGCTCATGTTTTTTTATTTTTTGTTTTTTGTTTTAAGATTTTATTCATTTATTTGATAGAGACAGAGACAGCGAGAGAGGGAACACAAGTACGGGGAGTGAGAGAGGGAGAAGCAGGCTTCCCACTGAGCAGGGAGCCCAATGCAGGGCTCCATCCCAGGATCCTGGGATCATGACCCGAGCGGAAGGCAGACGCTCAAGGACAGAACCCCCCAGGCGCCCCGAGTCTCTTGTTTTATACACACACACAGTGGTACCACCCTCAGTGTTGTTGGGAGACCAAAGGGCATTAATCCACGTCAAGCACTTAGAATAGCATGTAGGACTCAATGACTTTCAATTAATGCCAGTCATCATCATTATTATTATTATTACTACTACTATTTGGTACATAGAAAATATGTGACATTATATATTCTTAATTTATTAATATATAATACACCTTATATATTCTTAATTTATTATTATATAATGTATATTGTGTATTAATTTATTACTATATAGTGCATATTATATATTATGTAATACAAAATATATATAAGTATCTCTCCATATATATGTATGTATGTACATATGTATATGTATATGCATATGGAGAGCGATACATAGAGATATAGAGTATATTATATATTATCTTATATATATAATATGTTATTATAATGTAGCTTGCAAGAACTGTATGTTGGAAGAGCTATTTTTCCCCATTTTTACAACATATATTATAATGTGCACATACACACACATATATATATAGACATACAGACATATATATATATTACAAAGCCTGGTGCACAGTAGCTATTAAAAACTACCATCTGGTATTTAGCAAATTTAGGGTCCGTATTGCTTCTGTATCCCACAGTACGCAACCCGGTTCCTGATACATCGTGGATATTTAGGAAACGCTATTCTGATAGCCCCGGTCCCCGCAGCTGCTCCACCGATTCCGTGCCCGGAAATATCACCTGTCTACTTAACCTCTGGTACATTTCATAATTGCACCAGAAAAAATTCTTGAAATCCCAGTTCTGTCCCTTTTGTGCTAAGCAATCTCTGGCTGGTCCCTTTCCCTCTCTGAGCCACAGAGTTCCCCACCGGCCAAACAGGTGTCGAGGGTGTGCCCCGAGGGGGGGCTCTGAGCCCAGCCCCAGCCCACCCCCCACCCCGGAGCCTTACCGATGCTCTCTGTCTGCAGGTAGCACTTGTTCCCCAGGCAATATCGCCACAGGCCCTGGTGGGCGAAGGACCCCGACAGCCGGTACTGCATCCAGTGGTCTGTGGCTGTGGCCACCACCAGGAGGATGGTCCCCACCCAGGCACAGAAGAGGCCGCCACCCATGAAGCTGTACATGGTGATCTGTGGAGACGGGGAGAGGTGGGGTCAGGAACTGGACTCCCGGTAGAGGGAGGAGGAGTTGGGGACCTAGACTCCCGGATCCCAGATGAGGAGGTGGCTAATGGCTGGGACACCAGGTCCCTGGGAGAGGAAGGAGCTGGGGGCCTGGGCCCCTGGGTCCTGGATGGGGAGGAGGCTGGAGGCCTGGGCTCTTGGGTCCTAAGTGAGGAGGGAGCTAGGGGCTGGGACACCAGCAGGCCCCTGGGGGAGGAAGGAGCTAGAGCATGGACCCCTAGGTCTTGGTGGAGGAGGGAGCCTAGAGGTCCAATGCCTGGTCCTTACCTGAGTGGCAGAGCCTATCACAAGCCCTCTGTCTGCCTCGGGCCTTCTGTGCAGACTGAGCCAAGCCAGGTTGCTGGCCTCTCTGCTCCCTGGGTCCCCCAAATCCCTTAAGCCTCCCCACACAATGGCCCTGTGACCCAGCAGCTTCCAGCAGGCAGAAGTGCAGTGGTGGCAGAGGCCCCAAATGGAATTCGCTGAAACAGGGATCCAGGCGCTCCCTCCCCGCAGCCCCTGGCCCCACTGGCCTCTCTCTGTGACCCTCCCGATGACCCCACCACCCTTTCACAGGCCTTGCTCACAGCACCCGCTGGGTTAGCCTGAGCTGCGTAAGCACACACAGAGACACAAGATATAGGGGCAGCCATCCATTTATTGTTCAACCAGGGGTGAGGGAGGCGGGGCAGCAGGTGTCTGGGTATGTTGGGCCAATGTTCTTTGCAGGTGGGTCACAGGGCATGTCACAATTGGGGCTGGGGCCAGAAGAAGGATGGGACGGGGTTGGCTGGGGTCAAAGATGGGCTGAGTTTGGGGTCGTCAAGTTTAGGAGGCAGTTAAGGATGAGGACTGGGTTGGCCCGAGGTAGTAGAGAAGGAGGGTGCAGAGCTGGGACTGAGGGTGGAGATGGGGATGGAAATGGGAATGAGTGGGGTTGGGGATATGGTATTGAGAGTGGGGATGGGACTGGGGTTACAGAGGCGGGGGGGATGGGGTTGGGGCTGTCACTGTAGTTGGGGTGGTGCTGGGAATGGGGAGAGGCATGGCTTTGGGTGGAGATGAGGCTCAGGGCTTTTGCTGGTGTGGGATCCCAAATCAGCTCCAGTTTTCATGGGGTGACTCGCAAGACCCACTCCTGAGGCTGTGGTTTTGGGAGAAGAAACATGGGAGGATGGTGTTTCTTGGGGGTATTTCTGCCATAGCTGAGGTCACCCTGGGCTCCAGGAAAACCCTCCTGGTGACCCTGGGGGGGCCCTCTCAGGAGTCTGGGGAGCTGGACTTTCGGGGTCCTAGTACTCTGCCTCCCAGTCTTCTGCTGCAGCAGGCGGCGTGTCCTGGGGTGGCTCCTGACCTCGGGCTTCCTTCTTCCCATCCTGACCAGGCAGAGTTGGTGGTGATGTTGACATCGCCAGTGGAGTCTTGGGGCCAGCCCCAGACCCCCGCGGCCAGCCCCTCTCAGCCCTTCCAGGTTGCCATCGCTGCTGGACCTGGCCCCGGCCTGGCCTGCGCTGGACGCCCCAGCCTCCGCGTCCCCTGGGTGGCCTTGTGGCCATGCCTGGCTGGGTGTAGCTTGCCTGGGGGTTGCAGGGGCAGGAGGGCAAGGACTGTTGAAGGGTGTAGGCCCCCAGCAGGGCGCTGTGCAGGAGGTAGGAGAGGGCATCCAGACGGATGGGGACGGTGACAGAGGCCAAGCTCTCAGGGAGCCCCAGGTGGACTGGATCTGGGGTGCCCAGGGGGAAAGGTGGCAAGGCTGGGGAAGGTGCAGGGGGGCACGGCTCAGTCCTGCGTGATGGCGGGGACAGGTTGTTCCTGGAACGACAAGAGTACAGGTCAATAGTTCTCACCATCTCTCTCTGGCCTTCCTACTGTGGTTCAGCCCTTCTCCTGGGAGCCCATTCAGGTCAGTGTCCACCTCTGATTCCCGTGCCTGCTTCTATCTCTCTCTCTCTTTCGCTCAGTCTCTCAATCTTTCTCTCATCTGTTTTTTCCATCTCTCTTTACAGAGAGACAGCTCAGCCAGGACGTCAGAATTGAACAGAATGCAATTCCAGCTGCAGGCTGCCGCGCTCAAGGTGCGTTTCCAGGCCAATCACTTCCCTGTGATGAACCTTCGTTTTTCACATCCAAAGATGGCTTTGGGTGGTACCAGAGGTGCATAGGCAAGGCCTAGGTCTGAAAATTATTATTTCTCCAGCTCTATGGCTGTTACTGACATCTCTGATTCTCCTGGCTCCTTCTTTAAATTTCTCCCTGTTCCTCCAATATCTGTTTCTAGCTCTGTCCCTATTTCTAAGTATCTTGTTCAGCTCCGTCAGTAAGATCGCTAAGATTCTGTTTCTAACTGATGATACGTGAGCCTTTTTGTTGTTGTTCTGATACTCTCTTTGGGTCAGTCCACTCTGCCTCTGATTTTCTCCGCCCGTTCCCTCGCTGGCCTCTGTCCTCCCCATGAGGAGGGTCTTGCGTCTCTCACCCTTCAGGCCCAGTCCCTTTCTCTTGCTGTTCCATCTTTACAAGGGTGTCTCAAGTCTCTTCTAGCACCTTCGTCACGATTTCTCCAGGGCCCAGGGAGGCGCGGAGGGGTCGGGAAGAAAGTGCCCGGGACTTTGTCCGGAGTGGGGCGTGGCCGGCGGAACGTGAGGAGCCCTGGGCAAGTACGCTGGGGTCGCAGGATCTAACTCCTCAACCCCACATATTTTAGGCTGCAGCCCCCATCCCCTGAGACCAAGAAGTCTGGTCCCTGAGCGTCTTGCACGCTCAGACCTAGCAATCCGGACCCCCAGACCTCTGCTCCCTCAGACCTAGAAGTCAGGAACCCACCCCTTTCCTCTCTCTCCACCTGTATTTCTGGCCTTTCCCTCTGGGGGCCTGATGGTGTTCTTTAGGACTAAAGGGAAATCAGGGCATCTGGATGGTCTTCAGGACAGGGGGAGAAGTAGATGTGTTGGAGTCGAGGCAGACGCTTAACTCACCGAGCCACCCAGGCGCCCCTCTCTTGGAATACCTTTGTATTCTGTTTACAGAATTCCTATTTCTGTTTACAGAAAAGTTACAAAGTTAATACAGAGAGTTCTGATACAGTCCTCACCCAGCTTCCCCGGATGTTATCTTCTTACATGGTTGCGGAAACTTTGTTGCAGCTAAGAAACTAACATGACTATTAGCCAAATCCAGACTTTATTTGAAATTTACCAGTTTTCATTCTAAGGTTATCTATTTTCTGTTCCAGAAGCTGATGCAGGTTGCCATTTATCACCCAATCTCCTTTGTCTCCTCTGTTCGGGGGCAGCCTCTCAGTCTTTCCTGACTTTTTACAACCTTAACAATTTTGAGGAATGTTACTCACTTATTTTATAAAGTAGAGGTCCATTTTAATTAATAATTCTAATTTATTTTTTTGAGAATTCTAATTTATTTAATCCTCCCTTCACAGATGATCAGACTGTGCCTCAGAGAGTCTAAGTAAGTTTCTCAAGGTCAGAGAGCTAGGAAGTGGCAAAAGTGAAATTTGAACCTCAATTTTGCGCTCTTAATGGAGACTCAAGTAGGAGCCAGATTATGTAGGACATGATAGGCTGCAGTGTAGACTTTGGGGTTTGGGGCTGTTGTTTTTTTTTTTTTTTTTTTTGGTGTTGTTGTTTTTTTTTTTCATTTTAGAACACAGATGGCTTCAAACACTTGTAAGCTGAGGTGTGACATACTTTGACTTATGTTTGAGGAAAAGCACTGCGTCAGCAGTTTGGAGAACAGGCTCTGGTGGAAAGCAAGGGAGCATGCTGGTATCCTTCAGGCCAGGAGGGTGGTAACGCCCAAGCAGGGCTGGGTAGGGGAGTGGGGATGGGAAGATATGAATGGATTTAGGATGTTTTTTGGAAGAAACCATCAGAATTTGCTGCAGGGCTCCTGGGGGTGATTAATGAGGAATCAAGGATGATGCAAAGTCCCTGATGCCTGAGTGGCTCAGTTGGTTAAGCATCTGCCTCTGGCTCAGATGTTAATCCCAGGGTCCTGGGACTGAGTCCCACATGGGGCTCCTTGCTCAGTGGGGAGACTCCTTCTCCTCTGCCTGAAGCTCCCCCTGCTCATGCTCTCTCTCTCTGCCAAATAAATAAATAAATATATATTTTTAAAAGGATAATGCAGAGTTTTTGGCCAGAGCAGTGTCTTTGAACATGATTTTTATTTTTTTTAACAGAACTTCACAACATCCCTCTTTAAGGATGGGAAAGCCCAGATACCCACGACCTTCCATTTATTGAGTTCTCTGGAATCCACGGCCTGTGCTGGGTGACGCTGGTGACTCAGAGATGTCACCTGCCTTCTAAGGAGTCTGTCTTGAGGGGTGGGGGTCGGACACAGAGATGTACGGTAACATTCCGGTGATGAGAGCTTGCAAACAGGAACAGGAGGCGAGCAATGAGTGATGCTCCTGAGGGTAAAGGGGTGAGGTTGGGGGCCAGGAAAACATTGCTGCGCAGGCGGGGGGCTTCCTTGGGGGTTTTGTTGTTTTGTTTTTAGGAAAGGTGGCCTTTGGTCTAGGTCTAGAGTGAGTGGGTATTTGATGTAGAAGAAATGGTGTGAGCAAAGGCCAGGTGGCTGGGATTGAAAGGTTTTTGTTGTTGTTGTTGTTGTTGTTTAAGATTTTCTTTCTTTGTCCGACAAAGAGCACCAGCAGGCAGAGAGGCAGGCAGAGGGAGAGGGAGAAGCAGGCTCCCGGCTGAATAGAAAGCCCCACGCCGGGATTGATCCCACCTGAGATCATGACCTGAGCTGAAGGAAGACGCTTAACCGACTGAGCGACCCAGGCGTCCCTGGAATGGGAAGATTTTTATCACAAAGCAGGGGCTTTCCTTTCCGGGCGAGTGTGATTAAGCTTCGGGTCTCATCCATCCGTTCCGTCCTATCCCGAAGAGGCAGGACTATTTTGTTCAGACGGGTCTCCAAAATGGGGTTCGAAT